TCACTGTTCAGGTACCTGTTTGAAATCGCAGCTTAAATTAAGACGTATTTGACACTTGTTGAATGGGGTCAGGCTATAGGTTTTGGGAATCTGGTCAAACACAGCGGCAGATTGCTGTCCACTTTATTGTAAGTGCTATTGGTAGACTGTGGCAGAGATTTCAAGCCAATGGGTCCGTGGAATATGCACGTCGACCAGGTCGCCCCAGAGTCACAACATATTGAGGTGAGAGGCACATGATTAACACTGCGTTACGTAACATATTCCATAACGCAGCAGATCTTCAGACAGAACTCTTCAATGTTAACAATGTAAGAATATCCAGGAGCACCGGTCGTCGACGTTTAAGGGCAGCCGGACTCCGTGTAGGCGACCTGCAGTTCGTCCACAACTAACACCACGTCACAGGCAGGCGCGTTTGAGATGGAGTAGACATTATGGCCGCAGGAGTCAACGTCAATGGTCTCGTGTGCTCTTCACAGATGAAAGCAGACTCGCAATGGAGAGTGAACCACAGATGCAACTGTGGCCACGCATAACCTTTTTGGCTGGGGGTCGGTCATGGTTTGGGTAGGGATAACTCCTGATGGACGTGGTCGACGGTAATCTTACCGCACAGCGATAGCGGGCTCAGATTCTGGCGCCTATAGCAGTACCATTCCTGCAAGCTATGCATGGCTTTTATGGTCGACCCTCTTTACTGCAAGACGACAACGCTAGCCCTCATAGGGCCAGGGTTGTCACAGAATTCCTTAGTCAGCAGGATGTAGAGCGGATGGAATGGACAGCATGCTCGCCAGACCTCAACCCATGCCTGGGATGAACTCGGTCGACATGTGTACACACGTCACCCAGCACCAGTGAATCTCCCAGAACTCCGCAGAGCTCTAGTAGAGGAATGGAATGCGATTACTCTAGCTTTCTTTATGAACTTGATAAGGGGCATGAGAACAAGGTGCACCTGTGTCTTGGACGCGCAAGGAGGGTACACAAGATATTGAATGACCGAATGTTCATGTTTATCATTTTCATTTTGGGGGGTTGGTCTATAAAACTGATGTTTGCTAGTGCTGTGTGTACTTTTGTCTGTATGTCACGATGTGTCACGTTTGTCAACACATTAAACATTATGACACTCTTAGTTCTTTTATTTCTGAGAAACTTTTCTTTACATGTGCTATATATCATTTGGGCCTTTATTAATGACGCCTAGTATAGAATAACCTCCATGTAACTTGGAATAGCATGTTACTCAAGAGTGAAAGTTTGCATAATTACAGTATCACTGTACGTCATTCATTTACAATAACATTGTACTTCATTCATTTACAATATCACTGCACGTCATTCATTTACAATATCACTGTACGTCATTCATTTACAATATCATTGTACGTCATTTATTTTCTGTATCGCTGTTCATCATTCATTTACAATATCGCTGTACATCATTCATTTACAGTATCGCTGTATGTCATTCGTTTACAGTATCACTGTACATCATTCGTTTACAGTATCACTGTATGTCATTCGTTTACAGTATCACTGTACATCATTCGTTTACAGTATCACTGCACATCATTCGTTTACAGTATCACTGTACATCATTCGTTTACAGTATCACTGTACATCATTCGTTTACAGTATCACTGTATGTCATTCATTCACCGTATTGCTGAATTCCATTCATTCACCGTATCTATGTACGTCATTCACTGACATCATTACTGTATGTCATTCATTTACAATATCATTGTACGTCATTCATTTACAGTATCATTGTACGTCATTTATTCACTGTATTGCTGAATTTCATTCATTCACCGTATCTATGTACGTCATTCACAGACATCAACTGTACACAATGTAAGACTAGGCTGACTGTATTCCGAAAGCGAGGGCCATTGATCATGGTCAGTTTTCAGTCACTCACTGTCATTCACGGCAGCGGATATAATTCGTTTACAGTATCATTGTACGTCATTCATTCACCGCATCTATTTACGTCATTCATTCACCGCATCGCTACTTTTAATTCTTTCACGGTATCACTCGACGTCATTCATTCACCGCATCTATGTACGTCATTCATTCACCGTTTCACTGTATCGTCATTCATTCACCGACATTCACTGACATCAACTGTCATTCATTCACCGTTTCACTGTATCGTCATTCATTCACCGTCATTCACTGACATCAACTGTACATCATTCGTTTACAGTATCATTGTACGTCATTCATTCACCGCATCTATGTACGTCATTCATTCACCGCATCTATTTACGTCATTCATTCAACGCATCTATTTACGTCATTCATTCACCGCATCGCTACTTTTAATTCTTTCACGGTATCACTCGACGTCATTCATTCACCGCATCTATGTACGTCATTCATTCACCGTTTCACTGTATCGTCATTCATTCACCGACATTCACTGACATCAACTGTCATTCATTCACCGTTTCACTGTATCGTCATTCATTCACCGTCATTCACTGACATCAACTGTACATCATTCGTTTACAGTATCATTGTACGTCATTCATTCACCGCATCTATGTACGTCATTCATTCACCGCATCTATTTACGTCATTCATTCAACGCATCTATTTACGTCATTCATTCACCGCATCGCTACTTTTAATTCTTTCATGGTATCATTCTCGACTTCATTCATTCACCGCATCTATGTACGTCATTCATTCACCGCATCTATGTACGTCATTCATTCACCGTTTCACTGTATCGTCATTCATTCACCGCATCTATGTACGTCATTCATTCACCGTTTCACTGTATCGTCATTCATTCACCGCATCTATGTACGTCATTCATTCACCGCATCTATGTACGTCATTCATTCACCGCATCTATGTACGTCATTCATTCACCGCATCTATGTACGTCATTCATTCACCGCATCTATGTACGTCATTCATTCACCGCATCTATGTACGTCATTCATTCACCGCATCTATGTACGTCATTCATTCACCGCATCTATGTACGTCATTCATTCACCGCATCTATGTACGTCATTCATTCACCGCATCTATTTATTTCATTCATTCACCGCATCTATGTACGTCATTCATTCACCGTTTCACTGTATCGTCATTCATTCATCATGTCACTGTATATAATTCTTTCGCCGTGTCATTGTACATCATTCATTTGCCGTATCACTAAACATATTTTCTTCACCCTATCACTCTATATAATAAATTCACCGCATCGCTGAATACCTTGCATTCACCGTATCGCTGTATACCTTTCATTCACCGTATCGCCGAACACCATTCATTCACCGCATCGCCGTACATCATCCATTCGATAATCCGACGTAGAGGTTTCAATTTGGAATAAACTATCTCAGCAGCTTTCAGTAAATAATGTTCCCTCGGTTCAATATCCTTGCAGTACACCACGCAAATTTTAATCTGGATGCATGACAGTTGAAATCTCCCCGTGAGATATCGCAGTCACTCATCACGCCGAATCAAATGGGATGCACTAAGAGAGATGTATCACCCAAGCGGTACACGAGTCTTCTGATGAAGGGTGGATCTGTGGAATAAAACTTTATTATTACTTGCTTAAGAACATTGGCGTCTGATTGACAAATGGCGGTCGGACAGTGTCAACACATTTACAGTTGCACGTGTTTGTGCTGGTTGCACAAGTGTGGCAGTGTGCGCTCATCCTTTCCCTTACACTTAGTATCATCACTTTTTTTCTTGATTCATAAAAGCATGTATATACAATGACTGAATTCTCAAATAACTCAAGCTACCAACTATTCTTTCTGATATCAGAAAAAGGTTTTGTCCCTTGTATTTATAAAGCCAAGGACTGAAGTCAATGTTCGGTCTGTAAGGATGTAATTACGTCATAATGTTTGAGGTGATGTCACTTGCTTACAATACAATACAAAGATCTTTATTATGCATGAAGGCCACCGGCCCATATACATATAGCATATATACAATCAGAATATATTGAAACTATGAAGTAAAACAATTAAGAGTTTAAAAAAGTCTGATTCTTTTTATAAGCAGTATATATGAATTTGCATAATTTTAATAATGCTTCATTTGAAGCGGAAGTTAACAGGCTGAATATAAATATATTTGGAATTTGGTTGTAAACATGTAGAAAATAACGTAATTTTTCTCAGGAATAACATTTGCATACTAAAAGAAAATGGAATTCATCCTCTATACCACATTTACAAACAGGACATGTGCGTAGAGATACATCAATATTTAACCATCTTCCTTCATTTATCTTTAATCATAATATGCCTGCTCGGAATTTCATAAGAATATTACGACATGTAATTTCATGTATAATACTTTCATGTACAATACTTAAATATTTTTCAACGTCACAGTTGATCATACTGCGAGTCTGAAAACAGCATTTACGTTTTTCCACACAAATATTTCACTGAAATTGATAAATTAACATGCAGCCTAATGCGAGATTCATAATATGTGTATTCTTCGGGTAGTAAAATCGAGATGTGCTAATGACACATTTATAACCTATAAAATGTCAACGCTAAATAACCAGTCCCAATTACCCATCGTAACAATATTTAAATAGACGTACACGACAAACTAACGACAGGAATTATAAGAATGGATAATTGAATATCGATAAGAAGAAAATTATATTTGAATTCTCTGATAAAAGGAACGATGTCCTTAATCTCCTGATAACAGTTGTCAAATTTACTCTTTTTAAAATACGAATATATACTTGTACACCAAGTTTCGATACGATCAGAAATGAAATAAGTAAAGTTTACAATATCGAGAGAACAGATGCCATCTCTTCTTGTAATTTTACCAAATTTGTTGGATTTTGGTCTGATTGTCACCAATTGTTTGATTAATACTAACGTACAACCGACCCATTTCCCTACAATGTCATTTGTTATAATATGCTTGCCAAACTCTGTATACACACGCATGGTTATATTTGACTGCTACTTGATGTCATGGTTTTGTACCTAAAAAAAGATTAATAAAAAAAAGAAAAAGAAAAAAAAAGAAGAAATTAGTGATGTCATTAGGCACTTACGGAAAGATTACAGCCATATAAATCATAACATGATACCCTCTGGCCGTGGTAGCTTGTTATATTCGAATTGAAAAACTAAATATAAAACAAAAAGTAAAGACAGATTTGCATTATATGCAGAAAGTGTCGCATGTCATAGAATTGCGTATATGACTTGTTTGTTGTTTAATGCATACACAGCTATATTCCAACTACATGTATGACTGCGGCTGTAAATATTGGACAAGTCAAACCACGGTTGATATCATGTGCAACGACCTACGCTATCAAGCAATTCACAGAGTATGACCAACCGATCCATCAAATCACTTCCTAATTGCCTCTTACGACAATCATAGATGGCTGAAGACCTCCTTCAGTCCGAGGTACACGAGGTACAAGTACAAAGGGTCAGGGTAAGATGATACGTGATAAAGGACATAATAATTATATATTTCATATGTAGTTTTGAATCTTATGACAAGTATAACCTGTTTCGTAAACTGGTCCTGACAAGCCATTCGGACTGTTTCTGGAGTAGCGGGACAATCCAGCTGGAACCGGCCTGTGCTGCCTGCATCTGCCCTGGCTGATTTGACGGCGTCAGTGATGGCGAAAAACACGGAGAGGGACAGGACCACCGACAGGTCGGCAACACCCTGCAATGTGATAGACGAGCTTTGAAATTACCATTCTGAGTTTGTTGTCGTTCGTTGTAACAAAACAGATGACAAATACTTCTATATATACATCAATGCCATTCGTGGTATCTGCGTGTCAGCTTGATGTGTGTGTGTGTGTGTGTGTGTGTGTGTGTCTGTCTCTGTCTCTGTGTGTGTCTGTGTGTGTGTGTGTGTGTGTATGTGTGTGTGTGTGTATGTGTTGGGAGTGGGGTGGGGGAGAGGGGGTGATTTGACAAGATACAGGCCGCTGACGTTTACCCCTGTGATAAAATCCACGAATATGGGACCGACAAACCTAGAAATATAAACGCGACTCAACATTGGCTATTGTGTTGCCTCAGTCATCTGGGTCACCTGTGTCCCCAAAATGTTAGACAATCTACGCAAGGTATCCGTCGTGACTTAGTTATATTTCACTATGGCGTGTATTTGGAAAACGTTGGTCTCATGTGATGATTAAAACTGTTAGCAGCAAAATACCTTAAAAAGTGAATGACCTGCCCTGGCAGTTTTAAACACCTTTCTAAAAATCCAAAATGTTCTACCAACCTCCGACTCGTTGGTTGTTCCTTCTTTGTTGATATCATTCAGCAGGTGTACGTTCATCTTGGAGGGGTATGTTCCCGATGGAAGGTATCTTGTATGTGCCTGGCCCCAGGGTGAGCAGCACCCCATCCGGGCGGACCTGGTAGTCTTCCAAAACGTATAGACCATAGCCCTGTACAGAGGGAGAACCGTTAGAAGGTAATAATAATAGTCCATTTATATTGCGCGTTTATCCATGCACATTGCATGCTCAAAGCAACGAGTACAGAACACTCCATGTGGAGAATACAACCGGTCGCCTTTCAGGCGCTCAAGGTTCAAATTCAGACTACCATCGTATCATACTAGGTACCCAATTTTACTGCTGGGTGGACAGAGGCAATTTTGAACAAACTCACTTGCTTAAGGTGAGACCACATGCGTCACATGTGCTTCGTTGTGGGGTTTTCAGGAGTCAAGCTGCCAAACACGGTCACCCATCCGAGGACTGTCCGCGACCAACGTTGCTTAACTTCAACTGATTGTGACCTGAGCTCTACGCAGAGGACCACACACCGCCACAAAGGTGGCAAGCAAGGGTCATGTGTTTCTATATGGAACACCCAATGGTGTTATAAAATTACGTGTACGGAATCAATACACTGGGTAATGGTATTGTATATGAACGTGGCAAGTGAAAGGAGTTTCGTTGTATTAAACCGTTGACAACATCGCAAATGAACTCACAACAGTAGTTCATTATATTCACTCCGACTAACGAATACAGCCACTGGTCGTGACCAAAAACAATTCGTTACATTCGTCAGTTCATTATAAACGTGTTCGTTACAAATGTAGGTAATTGTATTGGACATTAAATAAGGATATGATGTATGGGTGAACAACTCCTTTTTTACAATGAAAAGTGACGTTTAATTATCGATTCAAACACCGTTATCTAGCAAGTGAAGTGCGAGATTTTTACAATAGAGCAGGGAAGCCTGCTAAGTGTACACTGCAGAAGATCTAATGGAAAAATCAGGTCCTTGCAAAGGGAGCCAGTCTGCAATAAACACAGGAGGTAAACGGTGTTACAGCCACAATTGACCTTTAAAGACACGGAAGTGCTTTGTAAAAAAAAAATGAAACAAAACCAATGTTTCTGGGTCCCGCTCCTCAGCGCGATCGTACCGCTATGACAGTCGTTAGTCCCATACTTTAACATAGTCGTAGAGCGCTACGATCGCTTTGTGGAACAGGGACCTGGTCTTTTCACAGGGTTATCATGAGATACAGTTGCAAATCGTTACTGATAATGCTATTCAATATACAGAATGTTAATACGTACTTCATTACTAGTTCGTACGTTGTCCCCCCTAAGACTGCATAACATCAATGTAGAATTCCTGGATAGAGTGGGTTCCCAATTAAATCACAATACTGGAGATATGGGTCCCATTCCTCAAAGCGTTCATAGCGCTACGACAGTCGTAAGTCTATGTTAAAGTATGGAACATTCTACCACCCACCCTAAAAGAAATAGAATCTGATGACGCTTTCAAAACTGCCCTCAAAACTCATCTTTTCAAACTTTCTTTTCTATAGACATTGTCTACCATCTTTCTCTTTATAGTGCCTTTGAGCAATATCGTTTGGAAATAGGTGCTCTATAAATCAATTACTATTATTACGACTGTCGTAAGTTTATGTTAAAGTATGAAGGTTACGATCATCTTATCGCTACGATCGCGAGGCTAGGCTGACTGTATTCCGAAAGCGAGGGTCATTGATCATGGTCAGTTTTCAGTCACTCACTGTCATTCACGGCAGCGGATATCCCAGCTGTCAACTAACAACCTACCAGCATAAAAGCACCTTCGATGTGACCAATGTCCACTGCCTGATTTGGATTGCGACCGACGTCTATGACAAGATCAGTCCTGGTCACGTGACACTCCCCGCTCAAACAGTCGACCTCGACCTCAGAACAGCTGGCACCACACACGAAGTACTTCCGGTCTGAGGTGCTGTCGTTAGTGACGTCGCAATGGATAGCAATCATGTTAGAAAATGCTAAATATCACGATCTGTATTTGAAATCACTATAAAAGACTGGTTACATTTACACGGAGAAAATGAACAAAGTTTTACAAATATTTCATTTCACTATCTGCTATTCACTGGTCACGAGGGGTACATGCTCAGGGAACATAAACAAACATAGAGGGTACATCAACCCATGGACCCCGAGGGGCCAGTGAACAACGTATTTATCTCACCGAACACCTCAATGAACTGTTTGAAACACGGGTATCGGATCATAATAAGAAGTGCCGGAGTTAGGCAATTAGCCAATACTAGATTTTCAGATGACATAAAATGTAGCAGACAATAAGATGGTTGGTTGGTTGGTTTTAGAGTTTTAGAGCGACGTGGGCCAATAAAAGGCCTATTTGTGCCCATCAGACAATAAGAAAACAAGTTTAGAGCTATTTACCTTCGATTGAATTTGCATTCGGTTAACATCGAAAATTTCCGGACATCATAAGTAACTCAATTATTCGAGATAAAGAATTACTAACACGAAGTACCAAATGAATTCCCACAGTTCGGCATTCCCAGTGGGTAATATAGAAAATGTTACTCGCTTGTAAGCGGAGTACACTGGCAATAATAGAAGATTATCGGCCAACCAGAAAACGATATTCATGTGTGAAGTAAGATAATGTAAATTATGAATATATCATTGAAACTAGCGTTGTCTGATTATAAACATGACAGAGTGATTGTCTATAAATGGTTTGTACCCAAGCCAAAAATGCTGAGCACCCATGTTCGTTTTAATAAGTGGGCTATTACACAAGAGTGTTCACGCGGTACGTGCTATCTGATCAACGTGGAAACTAAACACAACCGTTAATGCAGATAAATGGTTTGCACATTTGATGTGTTATCTTTAACTGAGGCTGACCAGCGTCATAACAGGTACTGGTCCCGAGTAATATCCGATGCTCAGTTGCTTGAAAGTTAGACCCCCTACTCTTCTTTTCCTCGGACATGATCGCACCCTTAATTACGTCGTCTGCTTGAAAGGGGAAGCAACTCACACAAACCGGAAGTGATATAAGCGCATAATTTCTAGCTTTAGCGCAGAAGATCACGATTGTAATTTACGATCGAAAGATTTACAATCGCGAGACTTACAATTCCTTACGGTAGCTTTGAAGAACGACAATAAATTGTTAGTTACGACAATTGTAAAGTTGATCGTAGGGCTTACAACTGATTGTAGCTACGATCGCTTTCAGGAACGGGTCCCTTAACAGGGGCGGATACAGCTTTTGAGAAAGGGGTGGGGGTGGGGTGCAAAATTGAGGAAAAGAGGGTGCACACTTCATTTTCACCCGTGTTTCAAAGGTCATTTAATAAAGTTTCAGGACAAAAGGGGGGGGGGGGGGTGCGCACCCCTGCACCCCCCTCTGGATCCGCCTATGCTTAAGGTTTACGACATTGGAACACAGTGGGTTAGTTTGTAACTTTCACTCTTTCCAATCGCATATAACATGACAAAATATATGTTAAAACGTTACTATTTTCTCCATGTTGATAGTTTTATTTGAAAATAGTTTAATCACTTAATCGTTAATAGAGCATCTCCTTAAGGTCAATGTAGTTTTATATTAAATCAGTGACACAAAGTACTGCTTAAAATGCATATTTTTGTCGTTACAAAAATCCTACATACGTTTTTATTGAAAATATGTTATTTTACATTACCTGCAGACACCAGAGGCCGTCAGGTCAACTCTGTTGTTGACTGCAACAAGAACCTGTGAACAGAGTCTGAGACAACCATTCACGCTTGTACTAATGGTTGGTTATATCCGCTAAAAGCAGACATCTGTCCACTGGGTTAAGTAAGAAAAGTATTACGACGATGGTAACAACCATTCGTTAACCTGTGCCATACTTCAATACTTCTTCACGGTCATTACACAGCTTAAATCATTGAAGCAACAAGTGAGTGTGTGAATTTAGTTAAATACCGCTTTCAGCAATATTCCAGCAATAACACGGCGGGGTACACCAGAAATGGGCTTTAGACATTGCATCCATGTGGCGAATCGAACCCGGGCCTTCGGCGTGACGAGCGAACGCTTTAACCACTAGGCTACCACACCGTCCCTTGAAGCAACAAGGCAGTGGTACTATTTTGGTATTTGATTGCATTGCTCAGGAAGGGATGGTGATGACCTACCAGATCCTCCCACGTTCCACTAGAGTCGACACTGATGTAAGGCTGCAAGCGTCGGTGGAGTATATCACAAGCATCCTGGTGATGACAATATGGTGAACAAAGATTTGTGCTAAATTGCCTGACCCAAACAGAACCTGTCGTTGTCTCCAAGGCCCCAGAGAATCAATTAAAGAGGGTGTCCAACCCAAGTACAGAATAAGCAGGCAAGTCTACAAACTTGGTTTGTGAAACTTTAGCATTGTTCTGAGATCCACTTTTATTTTGGTTATATATATTTTAAGATAAGATATTTTTCTGGGGCTAAATGTCAATCTATGATGGAGTTGCTTTGAATCTGCTGATCGCAAATAATAAGAATTTTCCTTGATAAAATATATGAGAACAGAAACAAAGATTTTAACGAGGTGCCTAATATGTAATAGAACAGTTTATTTGAACAAAATGAAACCGAACGTTCCGACCTATTGAAAAATAACAAAATCAAAAGCGAGACGAAATTGCAAAAGCAAACCCAAAACAAAACTTACAAAAACAAACCACAAACAAACCACAAAATCCCAAAAGCAAACATCCCTCAACAACCCCACAAAACGACCACATTAACCCCAACACAACCATAACAAATGCACAACAACAACAACAACAACAACAAAAAAAAAAAAAAAAAGATGGAACAAAACTTAAAAAAACACCAAAGATCACAAGCAGCCAAATAAAAGACAACAACAACTGACCAGCACCGCGAGGCCCCATTGGTCAGCCGTGGTCATCCCTGCATCAAATGACCGGGTGCCAGTTTCCCTGGCCTCATCAGTTCGGATGAAGGATGTGGGCACATTCAGCTTCTCACTGACGATCTGTGGGGAACCAGACGTTTGTGTAGGCTCGTAAATGGGCATCACATGATACTGTTACAATACTCTGACAGTAGTCAGTACCACCCCTTGTCATGGATGCCGATTGGATGATTCGTTTTGGACAGAAAAGTGATTCATTAAGATTTAGACACCGCCTTAGAGGTTTAGATGTTCCGGAGAAATGTATTGATTTTCGAAGACACCAGAACCATCTTCGTCGACACGTCAATAGTTACACTTACCTGCACCATCTTGACGTTGGCATCATGCCCAGGTATACCGCCGACAGGTGAGATGACGACGGATCCATCAAGGTAGATCTGCACAATGACACCCACCTGGACATATAGAATATACAGGTGTGATTGTCAGGTGTATATATCAAGTGTAAAAGGCTTGAATGTTAGGGGTTTTTCACGTTAGGTGTAAATGTCACTTATGAACGTCAGATGTGAATGTTAATAGAAGAGTATAAGTTCAAATGGTAGGTGTGTAAAAGTGTAAAAATCAGGTGTCAACGTTAGGTGTAAATGTTTGCTACAAATCGGAAGATTAAACTGATGGGGAAATCAAAATCATCTCAAGTTAGAAAATATTATACTAGCAATACCTAATAACGTGCCACAATTATCCAGTAACATATAACAACACATTACAACACATTAAATTGAAGGAGAGGTATACCTTTGGCGGTTCACTAGTATATTTTCTATAATCTAAGTGTATATTAAAATGGGTAAAGTGAACGGAACGCTGTTGCAACCTAACGAAGATTCGTATGGTGATGTACTGACCTGATTACTGTCTTCTGGAGACGAGATGGCGAGTCTGACTGGTACCATAGATAGTCCACGCTTCCTCCATCTGTTCTCACTACAGATGGAACAGAGAAACACCATGACAGACACCGGACTCGAAGACAGTGTGAGATAATCTAGAACTAGATTACCATATATACCCTAATAATAATAATACACAGTTTCGTCTTCGTCTGTGAGTGAGTGAAATGGGTGTTAAGCCAACTTTAAACAACATTTGATTCCGATCGTATATTTTACCCTCTTGGGAAAATTGCAGAGCTTGGGGATGGCAAACCGAGAAACATAGGCAGGGCAAACTGGGATTCGAACCCATAATCATGGGCTTGTGGCATTACAGGGTCCTAGACGATTGAGATGAACATTGGAAGCATGCCGTAAATATCTTTCAAGTATTTTGATTGAGGTAATTGAATGCTGGTTATATCTCACACGTTATAAAGAATTAGGGCGTCAGTACATTATGTTCTGTCTCAGTTTTACCTGTTGAATTTATCAACCTCCTTTCGACGTCTTTCAAACTGGGAATCTATCATACATTCCTCCCAGCAACGCCTGGCATTGAAGAGAGACAACTCCAAACAATGTGCAACGTCACCAGTCTTGTACATGTTGGTAAGGCGAATCTGGAATAAACATCAAGAAACCGCTAACCTCGATATTTTAGGTAACACACTCAGCTTTAGTGTGAAAACATCGTAAGAAATGAAATATCACATTCATCGTGATTATGTAGTATACAGAATATACAATTTTACCACCTGATCATGCAATTGCACGACAGGTAATGGCTTACCCACGCACTTTGTAAACACCCGGTCGCATAACCGTAATGATTCCATAACTGTTGTTTATTATATTGTGTCTTCATTTGTTTAGTCTCTGTTCCTTTAAATACTATACACTCTTAACGCCTGGTATTTATGGGCGGTTAGATAACCTAGTGCTTGGGGTGGGGGTGCACTTTGGTAAATATCGCATATGGGGTTATCACTAGTGTGTGATCAGTGTGGACATACATTAAAACTATGTACATAGTACCTGTTCTGGGGTTTTCCGAACTTTGTCAGCTACTTGTTGAATCATCTGCTCTGTAACCATGGTAACTTGTGGAACGCCAAAACCTTGAAGCCTTGTATTACAGGGAAGGTTCGTTTTGCAAGAGTGTCCTCTGAATGCCAAGTTGGGAATGTTGTAGCTGGCGTCGACGTTCATCATCATCTGATGTACCACCTTCAGGTCAATGTTGAGAATGGTTAAACAAAGTCATCACACAGTAGATCAAATCTGGAATGAAGCTGCTCAAGTGCGGAAACCAATGTAAGGAAAGTTATTACATTCGTCAATTCGGATTAGACCTCTTTAAAATGCATTGTAACTTATGGCCCTGTCGTCATAGGCTATGCAGTGTTGCATTCCTTGGGCGTGCCAGGATAATCAGCAACCCATGCTTGTCGTCAGAGGCGTGGATCGGGTGGTCAGACTCGCTGACACATGTTATCGTATCCCATCCCAGTGAGGTTGATCGATGCTGATAACGTTCATCACTGAATTGTCTGGTCCAGACTCGATCTTTTACAGATCGCCGCCATATAGCTGGAATATTGCTGACTGAGGCGTTAGACAAGAAACAATCATAATAAACAAACTTGCCACCTCATTGAAAAACATGTTCTATCTGTATATAAGACGTAGTTATCAACGTATAACGCCATGAATAATGCACAGTGATATGACACATTACACACCGCTCGTGACTGATCCACCGACATCCCAGCATTTACATAGACGTTGACACTGTAGGCGATGATATTGCCGTCACTGTCGAATCCAACCTGTGAAAAGTAAATAGTATTTTTATTTGAGCAAACACGTATTTCAATCGGGCTCCTTGTACTACTATGATCCTATGAAGGTGGGATCGAGTCCAAAAAATTCAGTTGAGTGAGTGAGTAAGTGAGCAAGTATGGTTTTCCGGGACACTAGAAATGGGCTCCACACATTGTACCCATGTGGGGAAACGAACCCGGGTCTTCGGCGTGACGACTGACTGACTGAGTTTGGATTTACGCCGCTTTTAGCAATATTCCAGCAACATCACGGCGGGGGACACCAGAAATGGGCTTCACACGTTGTACCCATGTGGGGAAACGAATCCGGGTCTTCGGCGTGACGAGCCAACGCTTTAACCACAAGGCTACCCTACAGCCTCTTGAAGATTCAAGGTTCTTTGTGTGACAGCCGAAAGAATTATATAATTAAATGTAATTTGGTGGGTTTTTAAAATAATTTTTTTAAATTTTTTAAATATTTATTTTATTGAATTCATTAAATGTAATTTGTTTTAATTGAGCATCCGTTTACGGGATCTTTTACTTGTACAGAAGGTAACTGTACCTTGTAATGTGCCCAGGTGGGGCAGCGAGTTCCAGTGACTGTCATGTCCACATGTCTGTCCAGAACACATCGTACAGGTCTCCCCAGTCTGTGGGGACAAGTACATTTGCAGTTGACATAGGACAAAGTATTTGAGAAATACGTAAATACCTGTTCCTATATCATAACAGCCTCAACAAATTTTGATTGTCGATCCGGACCCTTGCACCATCAAATCACAAGAGAAATGTCTTTTTGACTATCTGGCATCGGGAAACCTGGTGAAGGAAGCCTGCATCCCATTATATGGATTCAGATGCTGCTTGGATATTTGTTTCAGATGGCAGAGATGGATACGAGTTTGCATGCACCTATGACATTAACACTTTGATCTCAGCGAAGATTAATTCAATATAAAGTGAAAAACAACCGTTACTTTTGTTCATAATTGTTCAATAGCTTCAAGCACTTCCACACGTCTCGCAACCAAACAAAGGACTGCTTACTACATGTCAAGTGATGGCCTTAAGGACTGAGGGTTCATAGAGGATTTGCACCTTCGGTGATACCATACCGTTTCAAGGTTCAAGACGTATATAGCTGGAATCAGGCATTTAACTGTACTAAGTGTCATCTTCATTTCCGTTTCAAACAGTGCATACAGGAATTATGTTCAATGAACTAAATACGTCAGTGTTCATGTCCTGAAACACACGTAGCATATGTCACTTTAGACAAGTGACTTTGTTCGTAAAATGCCTCGGCTGACCGAGCAGTGAATGGGTACCCGGGAGGACGAGAATGAAATTTGACTGTCAACCGTTTACATCTAACAAGCAGGTTGGGATTGTATATTTTCCTGGATCTAAGAAGGAAGTGCTAAGTGCACCCTAACCGGGCGTAATAATTCTGTATATTTTATACAAGTTATTATTACTTACTTCTGAGCTGCCACAGCTGCCGGTAGGCAAGTGAGCAGGATCCGGGTTTGTTTGCCGCAGAAAGTTCCTCCTAACAAAAAGAAATCCCTTCATCATTCTTCAGTAATGCCCAGGGTGTATTTCGTTCCCGATAATTCATGGAGTTCCCTTACATGCTATATTCACAATACGTATTGAATGGTAATCAGAAGTTCAACTTCTATTAACTTACCTGGGTTCTTGACTTTGACCTCGACCTTGCTGGAAGTTACCCCCAAAACTTTGCAGATAGTTTCCTGGAACAAACATTAAATACATCTTGAATTCATTCTATAATAACCTCAGTTTGAAGTGCTCCTTGAAAATTTTATTTTTTGAAAGTCATTGCAACTCCTACTTGTACCTGTATTGACGATGAAGACTCTGTGTTGGTATAAACTTCCATCTTCCCATCCCCGCCTCCCGGAATGACCAGGGTGCCCATTGTCTCCAGGTAGAAGTGCTCCTGGGGTGCTGTCCGAGCCTCTCCCTCCAAGACGTGATCGCAGGTCTTGAAAGCAGAATCGGGGTCGCCATTGGTCAGAGTCTGGGGTGCTCCGTGGAAGGATTCGTACTCTATAGCTTCCTGTGAAGGAATGAATCCAGTCAAGGCTAACACATCATTGGAAAATGAAGCTTAAAGCGACAGTCATAGTATTCTTAAAATGTGTATGTGTGTGAGTTTACGACGCTTTTAGCAATATTCCAGCAATATCACGGCAGGGGACACCAGAAATGGGCTTCACTCACTCTACCCATGTGGAGGATCGAACCCGGGTCTTCGGCGTGACGAACGAACGCTTTAAACCACTAAGCTACCCCACCGCCTCTGAATTCTTATAATAGTTCTTCAGCCTCAAAGACATGGGTTTTTGGTCTTACTTTTACCCAAGGCTTGCCTGTTTCAGGATATATAGTTTTGACATTCCCTTACTCACTGAATCATTGTCAATGGGTTACCTTAATTGTAAGGAAGTACTGAAGGTCTTCGTAGACGATGTTCACCATTGACGCAGCATGGTCGGCGGCGTGTGCGCTCTCCGCAACAATGGCGCCTATAGTCTGACCGCGACACGACACCTTGTAAATGAAACTTCATGCGTTAACCTTGCAGTATCGTCAAACATCGACCAGTTTCAAGTGTTTTCAATGAATTTATGTAAATGTAGCCATGTATTAATATACTGGGCAAAAAAAGAAACGCATAGCTAAAATCTGTTTTTCAAAGTAGAATGTGTTTTAATATGAATACTTGAAATCAATATAAATGTCATTGCTAACTGTGAATACAGCCCTTACACTAATTCATTGCACACGAACGCAACATTTGGTGAACTGTCGCCAAAATACAGCACCTTGAATTAAAACTGCGAGAAATCGCATGGAGGAAAAGCTTTAAGCATGTTGCACGTGCAAATACGGGTACTATAGCTTCATACCGATGGGTATAAAAATGTGACAGTCCCGTTGCGAATCACTCTAAGCTGTTCCGTATAAGCGACCCTCAAGATGCCAAGACTGAATGAAGACTGTAGAAACAGAGCCATTGGACGTCTGGAAGCTGGAGAAAGTCAGTCATCAGTAGCCAGGCACTTCAACGTGAGGCAGAGTACCATCTCCCGTCTGTGGCAGCGCTACAGACTCCACAACTCTACAAAAGATCGACCAAGATCTGGTAGACCAAGGGTCACAACTCCGACGCTTCATCCGGGTGTTGCATCTGCGCAACCGGACAATCAGTGGAGCATACACAGCCAACAATGTTCCTGGATTTCGTAGAGTATCAGCGCAAACCATCAGAAATCGCCTACGACAGCATGGGATACGACCAATGCGACCATATACAGCACCTGTTCTGCGGCATCATCATCGTCGTGCACGTCTGCAATGGAGCAAAACGTTCGACCATGGACCCTAGAGCACTGGAGGAGGATCTGGTTTAGTGATGAGTCGCGGTTCTTGCTGTATCGCCATGATGGTAGGATGCGTGTCTACCGACGGAGAAATGAACGCTACACTCGACACTGTATTCGTGAAGTCGATAGATACGGCGGTGGAAGTGTCATGATGTGGGCAGACATAGCCTTGAATGGTAGGACAGATCTGGTGCACGTGCAGGAAATTTAACTGCTGTACGCTACCGTGATGAAATCCTCCAACGTCACCTTATTCCCGCCATTGACGTCAGAAGAGAGATTTTCCAGCAAGACAACGCCAGAGCGCATACTGCACGTGTTACCATGGATTATCTTGCCAACAACAATGTTAATGTGCTGCCATGGCCATCCAAATCGTCGGATCTCAACCCCATTGAACATTTGTGGGATCTGCTAGACAGACGTGTACGACGCCGACAGCCTCAACCACAGACCCTACAACAGCTGAGCCATGCATTGCAGGATGAGTGGAGAAGGATTCCACAACGCCAGATTCGACGACTCATTCAGTCCATGCCCAGGCGGTGCAGAGCAGTGATCGATGCTCGTGGTGGTCACACCAGGTACTGACTTTGTCACAGTGCCGTCACAGACACAGATGTCCCTAACAGCAGTTAATGACTGTATGTAGTGGAGGAAAATGTGCCTAACCCTGTGTAAAATTTGGTTGTTGTACATTCTTTATTTATTGTTTAATCCGATTTTATAAAACACGTAAAGGTAAACTGATATTTTGGTAATGCGTTTCTCTTTTTGGCCAGTGTATTAGTCGTATAATATCGAGGATTTCATTCAAAGAAACCAAAGCGAAAATGACTAGATTTATCCCCAAAATGTCAGCCGGTACTTCATATGTATATATACTCAGCAGCCAAAAAAACGTTAGTACGAATTCAAAATGAGATAGGCACTGTAATCAAATCATTACAGAAATGGACAAAATCAGCGGATCATAAACATTTTTGTGTACAATATCTTGACACATCAATGAATAACTCATCTCAATTTCAAGACATTACGTTAACGTTTGCAGTCCATTCAGACTCTTGACTTCAGTATCTAGTGTGACCACCACTAGCGGCAATAACTGCAGCACAGCGTCTATGCATGGAGTGCTCCAATCGATTGATGAAGGCCATTGGCACCTGGAACCACACTCTGAGAAAGGCCTGGCGCAATAAATCGGCTGTGTTCGGCCTTTGTATGACATTATTCAGTCTCCTCTGAATTCCATCCCAAAGAAGTTCAATTGGGTTTAAATCAGGACTAAGGGCTGACCACTGTATAATGTTGACACCGTTCTGCTGTAGGAAGTCCCGTGAAGCTCTGGCAGTATGGGCCCGGGCGTTATCAAGCTGGAAAATGTTGTTCCGGTGATGTGCGAAATGTGGTATGACGTGGGGTCTGAGAGCTTGGTCGATGTAGCGCACTGCTGTAATGCCGCCTCCTCTCCCTGGACCAAGGTTCTGGAACACCACAGGACCCACTCTCTGGTTCAGGCCTATTCCACCCCATACCATGATGCTTGCACCTCCACATGAGTCTCTTTCCATAACACATTGGTCTGAGTAACGCTGGCCACGTCGTCGCCATATTCTCGTTCTGCCATCTGTAGTTGATACGCAGTTCCGACTCTCATCTGTGAACAGAACAGTTCTCCTTGGTCTGCCAGTTTTGGTGTTGTACGGGGTTCACGCGATCGAGGGGTTTCTACGGCAATGGAGGTTCCCACGGTGGTGTTGGTGCTCCGGAAATGTTGCTGCAGCCTGTAGATGGTCTGAACGTTGACCTGGAAGTGTGGCACAACGGGTTGTGCAGTGTGGCCAGCTTCAAGTCTTGTTGGTGGCCCAGCGTTGCTGCAGCCAGTCGTTGACCTCTGAGGCTGTCGTGAGTTGCGGCATCCTGCTGACGTTCCTAATGTGAATGTTTGCAATCCAGGTGACGTTGGGGGTGAATGTTTCATAGGGCTAGGGGGTCTTTGTGAACAGCACGTGCAGCATGAGTTGCATGAAAAACACGGAGAACACCGTACCATCTCCGAGATCAGGTTCCGGTTTTTACACCATTTCCTGGGTTCAAATTCTGAGTTTGGGAAGGGATGTCTTTGCTCAGGTAAAGTTGGAGATCTCGTCAAAAATATACAATCAAAACATAAAATGAGTTTACAGTTATCCGTTTCTGCGAAGGAAAATTCCAAACTGACGTTTCTTTCGCTGCTTAGTATATATATATATATGTGCGTGACGATTTGATTTCAGACTTATATACAGTTATGGGATCAACGTTTGCTATTTTTCCAAATGCATATACAGTGGAAACCGCCTAAGTAAAGACCGCTGAACTAAATAGACCGGATAAGTAAACACTATTCTTTGGTCTCGGCAAATTTCTTCATTAATTATCACTATTAGAGTCCGGTTAACTAAACTCGGATAAGTAAACAATACCGCTTAACTAAACGTCTTCTCACGGTCCCTGGAAGTAAATTACTTAACAAAAGAGATCGTATAACTAAATTAGTAATATCAGGTTTCCACTGTATTTTTTCATAAAAATACGGAATTTATCAACGCACCTTTAGTCAACTTAAAAAGTAATACTTTTAATAGTGAGTGAATGAGTTAAGTTTTACGCCGCAATCAGCAATATTCCAGCTATATGGCGGTGGTCTGCAAATAATCGAGTCAAACCAGACAATCCAGTGATCAGCAGCATGAGCATCAATCTACGCATTTGGGATACAGACAGACAGACAGACAGAAAGCTTTTTTTGGTATATATTCAATTGGGATACAATGACATGTGTCAACCAACTCAGCGAGCCTGACCACCCGATCCCTTGAAACTATGAATGATACTATTAATAACATAACATAGTATGTACCACATCCGAGGCGAAAACCTCTTCTCCTGGTCCTGGTTGTCCCCAGGTTTTCGCCCCTGGGATGTCCTTGTGTGTGATGAAGTCCACCACTCCCGGCAGAGTGAGCGCCTCTGTTGCGTCAACACTAACAAGACGACCGTGTGGTCTCTTACTGAGCACCAGGGCCATGAATAGTTCTCCTGCAAGATATAACGTATGACCACATTGCTACGGTTTGGACGACTGTGTGTTCGTGTATCCAAAATTTCACTTTTAGTGCTGCGGTGTTGGGCCCACTGTGGTCAAGTCTTTCCAGCCAATAGAGCAGTAATGAAACATAACTGGACAAACCTTCATTCATTCATTTGAAACACCTACTAGGCTATGTGACATTTATATTTGTCTCCACATGTAGAACCTCACCTACACTTGCCGTCACGTCGTCCATAAGGAGAATCTCACCTACACTTGCCGTCACGTCGCCCATAAGGAGAATCTCACCTTCACATGACTCGTACTCATGGAGGGTCTCATCTTCACTTGTTGCCATGTCGTCCACATGAAGAATCTCACGTTCCCTTGACCCTAGGTGCTCCACATACAGGTAGTGTTGGGAATTGGTTGGAATTTCACAATAACAATGGTAATTGGTTCATTACCAGCGAGCAACCATCGAAAAAATTGGTTAGCGTCATTTTTCAGATTTCCCTATTCAGGTTGTTGTTGCAGATAATTTAACGTGGTTCTCTGTTGTTTTTTTGTTTTATTTAGAAACTGCACAAATTGCATTTGCAAATTTCACATCCAGTGTAAAATGATGCACTTGCTACTTTAAAGTGATGACAATTATATCATGAACATAAACTTCCTTGAGTCTTTAAGAAATATTCAGTAATGACTTTTCAGTGAGTGAAGTGGGTTTTCTAAGAATTAAACGCGTTTTCAATCTTTGACGACTTCTAAGATACGTTTCATTGTCAAGTGTTTCAAACACTAAAACAGTTGTTCCAAAATTGTTTGTGTTCGATTGTGGAAAATGTGATCGATTGCTTGGTCGTTTGGTCACTGCGACCCGTCTTCGATTATTTCAATTATTCGGAACACCACAACATACATGACCTAACCCTCACTTGGTGCCATGTCGTCCACATGGAGAATCTCACCTTCACTTGGCGCCATGTCGTCCAGAAACATTGTCTCGCCTGTAGCGTGCTGTATCCCGTACATTTTCCCAGTGTCGTCTGCTGGATGACAGGAAGTGACGTCATCATAAACGTGACTGGGACTTGGCAATGTGTAGTCAATGTCCAGTAGAGCACTTCGCAAATGTCTGGGTATATCTGATGCAATCCCATTCTGGAAAGATGTAAACACCTTTATGAACCAATTGGAATTAGTTCATCATCAGTTATATCATACAGTCTTAACTTAAATGGAAATTAGCCTGATGTGATGCACATTTTACCAGTATGTTTATTACTTTAATGAAACCCATCTGCACAGTCAAGATTATAAAAGCAGTTCAGTTCATCTCAGTTTCGACTCGATGATTGTGTTTTTGCACATCAAAGGGTCGCAACTCTGCACAATGTAACACGTCGTTTAAGACGACTAGGTGACTTGTGCCCTATAGAAAAATATACAAATAATTACAGTTTGCTGGAAGATTGTCTGCAAAGGTATGGCAAAGTTTAGTTCTAATTCAACTGAAATTATGTGAAATGGATTTTGTTTAGTGTTAAATCTACAAACTATTCAATAACCTTGACAAATGTAGCCTTTAACTGCAATAGATAATTAACAACAACATTATTTAGTATTATAGTATTTTAATCCTCCGTCCTAAACTTATATATCAGTTATAGATTGAATTACATGCACATGGTATTCCGTGTTATATACCTGATGACATAAAGCGTGTTGAACAGACAGATAGAACTTATAGAAGAAGCTGGTGGTGAGAGATTGTCTGTATTCACACATCCCCACGGGTGCCCCGGAGCCAATTGCAGTTCCTCGGCCAGCAGGGAGGTTGCCTTGGTTACCAGATCGTTTTGCCAACGACTGGAAAAAAACAAACAACATTACGAACATTAATATTAACAATTTATGTTGGTTTAAACATTCCAAAGTCCTTTGGTTATGAAGAGTAATCAATGATTTACTGTATATGTGAGTGACACTGTGAGTGAATGAGTGGATGAGTTTTGTTCTTCGCCGCACTCGGGAATATTTCAGCTATATGGCGGCGGTCTGTAAATGATGGAGTCTGGACCAGACAATCTCACCCCTGATTGGACCAGATAATCCAGTGATCAACAGCATGGGCATCAATCTACTCAACTGGGATACGATGACATGTGTCAACCAAGTCAGATAGCCTGACCACCCGATCCTGTTAGTCGCCTCTTACGACAAGCATGAGTTACTGAAGACCAATTCTAACCCGGATCTTCACGGGTTACTGTACATGTAACAATTGCAGTTTGAACGTTTACCTGCCAATAAGCCCGTTCATTGTGTGAGTGGCCATGATGGTGGTCGGTGCCATAGACCCGAAGGCAAGATAAATGTCTTTTACGACGTCGGAGTTGTCCTCAAATACAACCCTCATTCCTGCATTGCATGTTGCAACGCAGCTTTCCTTCCTGCTTGCCTGTTTGTAGCCATGGAAGAACTCGTTCTGAAAAGGATTAACCATGTGTCGTACACGTATGAAGGCATTGCATTCTGTGAGTCTTTAGGAATGCCAGGAAGGTACCAGTTGAGACAATATACACTATCAGGAAAAGGAAAGAGTACACCCCTGTGTAATGCAGGGAAAAAATGAACAAATGAAGAAATGGTTATTCGACGTCGATTTATTTGATTCAGGTATCTTTGCTGTCTTTTTGGCCTTCACTTTGCAATGATCCCGAGACAGATTTCTGTCTTGTAGGGCTATTGATAACCTTCGTTAATGTTATGGTCAAATAAAGTTTTAAAGTGTAATCTTTCTTTTCTTTTTATGTTGATTGGTTACCGCTGAACCAAGGTGACAATCATTCAGGGTAAACTGCATCTCGTGAAGTCCAACTCAGGTAACTACGGGTATGATCTTACGGAAATGGCAGAAACTGTGGACATCAAGGTCATATTTCGACACTCCGTTAGTCCATGTTGCCTCCATAGCTGACCCAAGGACAAAGCTGGATACCGGTCCATGCTGCTTACTTAACAATAACCGTAATATAAACCTTGAATTAATGATGGAATTTATGTTCCATACTTTCTGGCACAGTTTCAAGTACACCAACATTGTTAAGTTGAGTGCCAAAGGGCTGCGTATACCAATTTCAAGAGCCGTGACCCACGATGATATTGTACACATTTCTGTGCTGTTTTTGTGCTTTCTTGGGGAAAAAACGTTTGGTCAAAGATGTGCAATTATGACAAAATGCCTAATAATAAGCCCTCACAATAACTGTTCTGAACTGTCAGTCTGTTGTAATAGGTTAGAATAACATCTAGTCTCTGAAATGAACATATTTGACAGAAAAGAACAGTTCCTAAATTATGATCTTAAAATATTATAAAAATGAATCCAGAGGCTTTCTTCATTTCCTGAAACTGCGGAAATCTAGACTTGCCGCATAATCTAGACTTGCATGGGCTTTCTTGGATATATTTGTTTCTGGGCCTCTATGACAGACTAGTAATAGGTAGCCCTGTTTGCGTTTGTTGGCATGAATAGTGCATAATTTTATTAACGCAACTATAAGAACGATCCCATTATGTTGTGAACATATAGGCGAATGTTTCGTGAAACTAGATCTCACCAACCTTGCCTGATGTTGGTATGGTTAGAGACAGCAGGACATCATCAGGGTCCAGACATGTTGTCCTGTACTTGACGTAGAAGCTGGGGTCAATCGCCATCTCCCTAATAGCGGATCCTACAATTGTTGAGGTTAACCGATTGAAGAACATCTGCATCATACAATAAACACACGGTCTGTTTAGGACAGGCATGGAACGTTGTAGGGCAGACAAATTGAAGTACCCAGTCACATGTATTGGCAACACACCCGCGTACCCGAGAGAGAGAGAGAGAGAGAGAGAGAGAGAGAGAGAGAGAGAGAGAGAGAGAGAGAGAGAGAGAGAGAGAGAGAGAGAGAGAGAGAGAGAGAGAGAGAGAGAGAGAGAGAGAGAGAGAGAGAGAGAGAGAGAGAGAGAGAGAGAGAGAGAGAGAGTAAACATCGTCATAACATATTCAAATTACGAGTTTGAACTATTATTTTCACTTATATTTCTTATTATAATTTTGTTGTTATTTGTCATTCATTTCTTATTGACTGTCTAGGCGCAAGAGATCAAGGGGTCTTATTTCAAATGATGGCAAGAAACAACGACCATCTTTCAATATATTTTACATTTTCGTACTTTTCGTACATTACCCAACACAGACACTTCATATACGTTGCCTAATATTTCCGAACATAATACATCTGTACTCATAAACACATGTTTATCCTACGCACACACTACCTTTCCTCGCGACGTGGACGGTGGCTCCGGCTGACATCAACATCGGTACGAGGTCAGACAAAGGACTGGCTGTTACGATGTTGCCACCGATACTCTGCGAGGTAATACTACATGCATTAATATGCTAATTGGATTAATAATCTTGCAGAGATCAATGCATGCCGCGTTTTATAGTGAAATATTTTCCGGTTGAAATATCTGATATTCAATCATTGATTTGTTAGAATTTTTATTCAACCTTTAAATATCAATGCGTTCTATATAATCGAAAGTCTTTGTTTAATTTAATTTAATTCGTAATTATACCGCGGTATATTGGATTAAAGTAGGGTAAAGCACAATACTATTGGTTGTATGTATTTATATTTGCTGATGTATAAGCTGATGACGGTATTCTAGATTTTCAGCTCACGATAAGCGGATCCTGTCTCATCTATAGGACACAACTCTGCACAATTGTGTCACCTTTTACAACTTTGCCATCTGTGTTCCAACCGTCTCCTGTATAACTGACTGACTGAGTTTGGTTTTACGCAGCAATATTCCAGCAATCTCCTGTATAACCCATGTGGTGATTCGAACCCGGGTCTTCTGTATAACTACTATCGTATTGTGAATGCTGGTGTGTTTCTTCCTACTTACTGAAACATTCCTGATCTGTGTGTTGCCGAACCACTTGAGAACGTCCAGAAAACCTCGGAACACTCGTGTCTTATCCTCTGAAGAAAAATCGGTATCAATAACGAATCACCATAATAAGTGAGTATAGTTTTACGGCACACTCAGCAATATTCCAGCTGTAGAATCACCATAATGAGAGAATGAGTTGAGTTTAGCTCTTTTAGCAAATATTCCAGCACTATCACATCGGGGATACCAGAAATTGACTTCACACATTGTACCCATGTGGGGGATCGAAACCGGGTATTCGGCTTAACGAACGAACACTTTAACCACTAGGCTACCCCACTGCAACGAATCACTATCATGTCGTAGAACACTTTCAGTTTATAATTCACGTTACCTTAACTGCTCACCTGGCATATCACTGACAACGGTCTGTAGAGCTTCTATAACGTTGCTGATAGTGACGGCAGAGCCGAACGTGATTCCTGACGGTGACCTTGAAACCTGCCTCAGTTCCGGGACATTGCAGACCTCGATGAACACATGGTAATTTAAACCCTTGCAATGAGTCTCAACCGCTGTAATAGAGTCCATTGTGTTTATTACGACCAGTTCCTTTCATATAAACTCAATAAAATAATAATAATAATAATGAGAATATAACGCGCCTTTTCCAAGCTAGATATCCTGCTCAAAGCGCACAATCTGAGTTTTATTACCCCGGATAACCCAAGCTGCCTGTTAGGTGCTAGAAGGTTAATAGTCTCACGACATATTTCACCGTGTACCAATTTTCTGCTGGGCGAACAGAGGCAATTTTGAAGAAACTCACTTGCCTAAGGAGAGACCAAATGTATCGCATGTGCTTCGTTGTGGGGCAGGTCTGAAGTCCTAAAACTCTCAGGAGTCAAGCTGCCAAACACGGTCATACATCCAAGGACTCTCCACGCCCAACGTTGCTTAACTTCAACTGATTGTGACCTAAAAGCGCTATGTTCAGGACCACACGCCACCAATAAGTACACTTGAGTTAAATGACGCTAGTGGACACGAGCTTTTAGAAACAAAAATATCCTCGGAAATGGGATACATAGCTTAAATTTTCAGTTTTCAAGATTTACAAGTATGATCCCAAGATAATAGCATGCTGGATCTTGCATACACCTTTGCTAAGCTCATATATATAACATTTTATAGACATACATGTATAACAACCACAGGGGCTTTTATAGCAAACTTAATATAAAGCAGTATTTGAATTATGTTTGGCAGCTGACATGGATTCAATGCACGTATGGCGAAGTATTTTGTTAACGTAGGCAAAACGGCGCGCGATTCGCAATAAACGTGCGAGATGATTACATTCGACTATGTGGTTAGAATATTCACGATGCTGTGATCGTGTTATTAGTTTTGTGTTTGTTTTGAATCCAAATCTATATATTTTTGGCTTGGATGCTTATGCCGACCTCTGTGTGTTTGGCCCCTTGAAAGGCCAAAATGTAACTATGGTGACATTGAAAACTAGAGGGTTGATTTTGTCAGTATCAGTTTTTGATGAAAGTTAAATATTTGTAATGAAGCTCAAGCAAGATCAGTACAGTCATGGTTCCTGTTGATATTGTATTTTATGGTAGACATGTGGAGGAGAGTTCCAAATTTGATGCATCAGTGACAAAAATGATGCCCGATGCAATTCCCTATTTTGACTTACACCATACGTTCCCGAATTATTTCAGGTGAACAACTGACTAGATGTAGCATATTTTTATAACGGGTGCCACCGGTGGGGCAGGATACACTCAGCTTTTCGAGAACACCTGTTATCATCACTATTTCATAGTGATTCATAAAAACATGCTCTGTCATCTTATCGCATAGTGCCAATCACTGGATTGTCTGGTTCAGACCCGATTTGTTTACAAATAACATCATATAGCTGTAATATAGCTTAAACAAATATCTGCTCATGATATAGTCACAATTGTACAATCGAGTCTGCTTTTAGCAGAGATTTCTTATGAATGTGGAAAGGGTTTTGTCGCTTCTATTTGTACATGTATTTATGCATGTAAAGTATTTGCACGAAGGTGAACTCCACTTACATATCTCTGTATTCCCTGCAGCAATCTTGGCATCGGGATGACGGGACTTCAGGTCAAGTAACTCTGTCAATGTTGTTGGTCTGTACCACGTAGAGCTGTCACTTTTGAACACGAGTGATTTGCCCTGGTAGAAATTCCACTTGTTCTGGTACAAAAAGCAAAGGCTTTGATATAAATTTTACATTTTAAAACATGGTGATGGTGAGTTGAAGCTGTGCTCGATGTAGCCCATTACCTATGTCCTTCGCTCTGACAGTACCCAATGTGTGCCAAGATTGGAAAAACACACTTAAGAGTACATACTGGTACTCTCTCTCTCAACCCTTGGATACAACAAACACGATCAGAAGAAATTGAACAGAAACTCATTTTTGGTCGATTTCCTCACCTTAAGTTCCGGAGGAAAGATGGATTCTTGTGTCGGGTCGTAGGACGAATGATGCTTCGTGCCGGTGACATTTGGCTGAAATGTTATCACAACGTCTATATAAAATACATAATCATTATCACGGTATTACGTACAAAAAAAAGGAATCTCAGATGCACTTATCTTATCAAGTCGCACATACTTTAATGTTTTAGCATGTGTTTATGCCAAGGACAATGTATGCGACTTAGTCTGTCACACAGACCCTGGAGTAAATGTATCCAAGAAGGCCCATGCAAGTCTAGAATATGTGGCAAGTCTAGATTTCCACAGTTTCAAAATAAATTTGGAGACATTCGATACTCATTGCCCCCAAATCTGCCCATACCACTGACAGTAGGAGGGAGAGGTGTTGGGGGCAATAAATATTCCTGTCACTCACACTTCAAGTAGTAAGGGGTGATAAGAATCTTTGTTTTCACATTCCAAGAAATAATCCCTCTACAGATTTGTTTAGTCTCTGAAAATGAAGAAAGTCTCAGGGCTCCTTTTCATTATATTTTATTTATTTATTATGAAATGTTTCTGCTGTAAAATATGTTCATTTCAGAGACTAGTTGTTAGTCAATCTGTGACTGTACCTCATCCTTGAGACGTCCGTTGCTTCGGCAACAATCCACTCCCAGACCACAATTACCCTGTAATTGAACAGAGAGTTCCATTTTAACAATATTCTATTTTTGGTAATTATTTCAAACTATGCAATATTTAAGCTACAGTATATTTAGGTAAGAGGAAAGTGCTACACTGACAGTTTAATGACTACAAAGATTATCAAGAATATCGTTGAAAATGTCAGTATCAGACAATATTGCAATACCTTTGCGAATGTCCGAAATCCATCGAGTATAGTTCTGTAACCAGTACAGCGACACACGTTTCCTGCAAAGAGGGTAACGAGATGATACTAAGATCAAAATGAACATGCTAACAATGACAGGCTTTATCTTAAAGTAGGCGATACTATGTAAGAACCTACCATCCAGAAATCTACGAATTTGGTCTTCAGATGGTTCAGGGTTGTTCCGAAGAAGTGCATACATAGACATGACCATCCCAGGAGCACAGAATCCACACTGGGTGCCGGAGGCCTCAGCTAACCGTTTCTGAATTATTAAGAATATACTTTCAGAAGAGTAAATGAATCACTCATAATAAAAACATCTTCAACGAGAATGTTTAAGCCAGACCATGAGAGAACAGTTACTTACCTGTACTGGGTGTAGCCTGGTCTTGGTGCTGCCTATACCCTCTACTGTAGTGACAGCCAGACCATGGAGAGAACAGACTTACCTGTACTGGGTGTAGCCTGGTCTTGGTGCTGCCTATACCCTCTACTGTAGTGACAGCCAAACCATGTACGCAGCACACAGGCAGGATGCAAGCCAAAACTGCAAAATGGCTATAAGAACGATCTACTGAGTTATTTATTTATTTATCTTGGAATGGTGGCACAAATTAATATTACAAAAATATCAGGAAATATTAAGCATATATCAACATTCTATTTGAGAACATATACACATGAGCATTAAAAAGCACCACCTCAATCCACGTATGATGCAGATGTCCTGTCGCAACATAACATTAACATTAACTACACAGTTATTAGTCGACTTGTGGAAAAGCCCCTGGCCACCATTAAAGTAAAAGATCGCCCAAGACCTGGAAGTCCGCGGAAGAACCATGCCGAAGAACGGTTCCGTCACTTGAGATTTGAAGTCTGCCTCTCAACTAGTGCCATCAGAAGAAGCCTGTGGGATGCTAGTCTGAAAAAAACGTCGTCCGTCTCTTCCTCACAGATAGGCACAGGCAGGAACGTCTGGCCTGGTGCAGTCTCCGAGAAACTTGAGGACACTGGGTAGGGTTCATTGATCTGATGAAAGTGTCTCTCTTCTACACCTTACTGGTGGACATTATCGCGTATGGAGGCTTTACAACGAGGCATGTTACCAGGATCCATGCAGCGGAACACATTGGTGGTGTCTCAGTCACTGCAAGTCGGATCTCTTTGAAGCACCTGGGACACTCAATAGTCAGCGTCATCAACAGAAAGTACAAGACACCACCATCATGCCACATTTTGATAACCATACCCTTGCCTGTCGTCCAATATTCATGGATGAAAACACTAGACCTCAGAGTGCTCATCGCCCATTTGTGTTTGCATTACTATGGCCCGCAAGGAGCACCTTCATGAACCAGATCTGCAGGAATTGACGCAGGCACGCCATGAGGATTGGCGTAGGTTCCATGTTGAGACTCCGACTCTTCATTGTCAGTATGAAAGGGAGACTAGCAGTTGTTAGGATGATGATGATGATGATGATGATGATGATGATGATGATGATGATGATGAGAGGAGGAGGAGGAGGAGGAGGAGGAGGAGTGGTTACACCAGATACTTATAGTCGCCAATGATGGTTTATGACATTAATCATTGTTTGAGAGCGGTGTGACAATCAAATGGGTGGTGTAGTCATGGTTGCCATACCTTCCAACATTGTTGATATTCACGTTTTTTTCTTTATTCCTGTCAGATTACAATTAAATTGTTTTAATTTCAGTTTTTGTTTTCATCTGAGTAAAATGTGTTACAGTTACAGTTTCAAGCGGAATTGGGTATTCAACAATTGTACAACACCTTTATGTAAAAGGTGGGAGGTGCTCAATTAATGCTCATATGTATATACCAGGTCTCAGTAGGAAAGATAAACCGACACACCTGACCTTCTCTGTTTTTTCGTCATACTCTGACAGCATGACGGTACAGGCACCACATCCTCCTTCTGCACAGGCAGCCTTACTTCCGGTCTGGCGCACTTCGAGTAAAGTTAAGTTATCATTTCTTGAACGATACAAACACACCTAATAAAATCCACATGCCTGCAGGTTATCTCCCAATTGACAGACACCCACTTGACAGACACTGAACTAAAAGGTTAACTAGGGTAACACCTACGGGTATAATGGAACAGTCCACTGTCTAGCGAGTGGGGCAGGGTGAGCCTGAAACAGGTTCGTTACTGAGAAGTTTGATTGTGCGTAAATAGAACTTTGTTGCGATTAAATGATAAATGATTTCTCTTCTCAAAATTGATTTACTATTAATTACTATAGAATATAAAATTGATTGTGTTAATCGATATAAAAGACCCCTCCCAATAATAGCATATGTACAGCAGAAGTTAACTGAGAAAACGTTTTGTTGGAGATATATAGATATGTACATATTTGAAAACATTCTGATTTGAGGTAAATGAGACACCTGCATTGCCATGTAAGATACGATTAATACCAATCAGTGTTCTAATTTTAACAATACTTTCTAAAGATTGTAACAGTTTATGTCTTTGAGTAGTATACAATGGACATTTGAGGAATTAATAAAAAACATTCTCACATCCATGGCCAAATTGACATGATGGGTAATATTTTAAATATTTATTCTAAATAAATCGTAATTAAGTGCAGTCGTCATATATCTTAATATTGTGTGCAAGACATATAACTTCTTTATTCCACATGAATAATATTTAGGTTTACATTTGTCTTTATTTGATTTATATGATACAACAGTGTTGCAATTTCTAAAAGCTAAGCTAATGTTTTCAATATGATGATGCCGACTTACGTTAGACTAGAAGGTTAAACCGAAATGTTTATGAAAATAAACTGTTCTTTTTTATTGCAGCAATAAAAATTCAAGTTACTGTCTTTTCGCCTATCTTTCAAAATAAATAATATAGCTCAGTTTGTTCCTGTGTTTTTATTTGGACTACTAGTATTCCATTATAACGTGTAGGTAACAGGTAGTAGATAATCTTGTTGTTTTAAAGTGTCTGCGAACTGGCTGTCTGTGTAATGGGAGGACACCTGCCCGCATGTTCCCATTTTGCCTACATCCCATTTTGCCTACACTCTTATCAAAACAAATTTACACTCCTGTGGCTATGCTTCATGCAAGGTTAAACATTTAACTACCTACTATATACAATGGACTAGTCCTAGTCAGTCTCTATATACACGTGGTCTTGGTCGGGAAGTTGCACCATGGTTCAGCTGTAGACGGTGTCTTCCGTCTGTCGTTGCTTTCCTCTTAATTGCTTTTATGGATTCATACAGGCTAGGGTGGGCCTTCTTGGTCTGCTTCTTCAATTCTTCAGTCCACTATGGCATACCTTCAGGTGATTGTTGGATCTTGGTCCTAGGTTATCATCCAGGGCCCCGTTTCACAAAGCTCTCGTAAGCCACGGATCTCGTAACTTTTCTCATAGCATTCGCACTTTCTATAATGTACCATTGACTTACGATAATCGTAGCGCTACGAGAGCTTTGTAAAACGGGGCCCTGGTCCCACAACTGAAGAGAGAAGCGGGCATAGTCATTGAAGGTTGCGATCTCTCGCTTTTGGGGCCTTGGTTCATAACCATCTCAGTGCTTGCAAACACAGGCAGCTTGTCATCATCACAATCATCCACACAGACAAAAGTCTCTTCCATCTTGTGTCCTCGTCCATGATTCCTGCAGGTCTGCAACTGAACGGCTTTGTGGTAGGGGAGGAAGTGACTTGATGCAATGTCGGTAGAGGGCTGATTTCACACTTGGAAATGATGCCATGGTAGCAGGCAGCATCATTGTCATCTTGATGCCCGAGCTCTTCGTTGTACACCTTTTGGACTGGGGAGATGACTTCTTGAACACGTTGGCGGAGTCGACTAAGGAGACGAACATGCTCTGCGTTTTCAACAGGGCGATGAGTGTGATCTCTGGTGGAAGTGACATGATCGCCAGTGGTACTACAGCGGCCCTTACATCCTTGAACAACAAATGTTGGAACAACAAACCTCTACTCATTAAACCTTGGAGAAGCCTGTTCTCTCATGGTCAAAGTGTTTTGGGAGATAATCTTCTTGTGTGTACTCACGTAATCCTTTTACTATTAACAACAATGTACAGAAACAGTATGTATGGTAAGGTTCCATGGCTAATTTATTTCACTTATGGAGAAGCCTGTTCTCTCATGATCAAAGTACGTGAGTATGGTAAGATCAAGATCAAACAGTCACTTTGTCAGTCACGTAGAACTTGGAGCAGAGCAGTGTATCGGCACAGGTGATTAGACTTGGGGCATACTCATTTATGTTCCACATTCCCTAAACTTTCACTGTACTCATAGGCAAACTGCGATGTAGGCAACATGGAATGTAGGCAAAATGGGACCAAACACACATGCCATATGGTCACTTGTGGGATCAGGATCCCATCTAGACTTCACGCCCTGCTTTGAGGACCGGCATAATGATTTATCTGAGTAGACTGACTGACTGAGTTTGGTTTTACGCCGCATTTAGCAGAAGTTATGTTCTTCTACTATCTGAGTATATCACTAACTACGTAAATCACTGTAGAATGACGATTTTCTATGGAATCCTGGAAAGGAACATTGTCGCATTGTCGTGTTGGTTTAATTTTGACACGTTTATGCTTGTTTATTTAGGGACGACAAAGCAAAAGGCGACATTGTGCCTCTTTGGATTCTATAATTGTCGACATCTTGCTTTGGGCATAGTAAGGTCATGTTTATCTGACATTACAGTGGACTGGCGAGTGGACTGGCGACCAGTTTCAAGGATACGTTTGTGACGCAGGTAGTCCAGCAATGACAGACATGGATCAGGATTCCTCTCCTCTATCTGGAATGTAACACATTACACAGAGGTCAAACACCACGGGTAAGAGTAGGAGTTCGTATAATTTGTTTCACTACATTACCCTTCACGCCTGGGCAAGGGTGGCCAAGACGTCTGAGGCACCACAGTTGACTTAGTTAAGACCCTTGGAGACGTCGGAAACCTAAGATTGTGGGTTTGAATCCCCGTTCGCTCTGATTATGTTTCTAGGTTTGTCAGAACCATGGTTGCTTCCATTAAAGTGGTAAACGTGTGAAAGTGCATTGCTTCGGGTTTTGCTCCCACATGAAAATGCAACACTGTGATTTAACTGGTTTGCTGCTCGAAGTGGTAAACGTCTGAAACATGCATTACTTCGGGTTTTGCTCCCACATGAAACTGACAGGCTGTGAAAGAACTGAAATACTGCTCACAAACTATAACATCCAAAGAAGGATCAACCAGATGTGTAGCAGACAGGAGGTCACAAACTATAGCATGTAAACAGATGTGTAACAGACAGGAGGTCACAAACTATAGCATGTAAACAGATGTGTAACAGACAGGAGGTCACAAACTATAGCATGTAAGGAAGGATCAACCAAACATGTAACAGACAGGAGGTCACACACTATAGCATGTAAAGTAGGATCAGACAGATGTGTAACAGGCAGGAGGTCACACACTATAGCATGTAAAGTAGGATCAGACAGATGTGTAACAGACAGGAGGTCACAAACTATAGCATGTAAAGTAGGATCAGACAGATGTGAAACAGACATGAGGTCACACACTATAGCATGTAAAGTAGGATCAAACAGATGTATAACAGACAGGAGGTCACACACTATAGCATGTAAAGTAGGATCAGACATATGTGTAACAGACAGTAGGTCACGAACTACAGCATATAAAGTAGGATCAGACAGATGTGTAATAGACAGGAGGTCACAAACTATAGCATGTAAAGTAGGATCAGACATATGTGTAATAGACAGGAGGTCACACACTATAGCATGTAAAGTAGGATCAGAAATGTGTAACAGACAGGAGGTCACGAACACAGCATGTGTAGGATCAAACAGATGTGTAACAGACAGTAGGTCACAACTACAGCATGCAAAGTAGGATCAGACAGATGTATAACAGACAGGAAGTCAAATAGCATGTAAAGTAGATCAGTATGTGTAACAGACAGGAGGTCACACACTATAGCATGTAAAGTAGGATCAAACAGATGTGTAACAGACAGGAAGTCACACACTATAGCATATAAAGTAGGATCAGACATATGTGTAACAGACAGTAGGTCACGAACTACAGCATGTAAAGTAGGATCAGACAGATGTATAACAGACAGGAGGTCACACACTATAGCATGTAAAGTAGGATCAGACATATGTGTAACAGACAGTAGGTCACGAACTACAGCATATAAAGTAGGATCAGACATATGTGTAATAGACAGGAGGTCACACACTATAGCATGCAAAGTAGGATCAAACATATGTGTAATAGACAGGAGGTCGCACTCCATAGCATGCAAAGTAGGATCAAACATATGTGTCATAGACAGGAGGTCACAAACTATAGCATGCAAAGTAGGATCAAACATATGTGTAACAGACAGGAGGTCACACACTATAGCATGTAAAGTAGGATCAAACATATGTGTAACAGACAGAAGGTCGCACTCTATAGCATGTAAAGTAGGATCAAACAGATGTGTAACAGACAGGAGGTCGCACTTTATAGCATGCAAAGTAGGATCAAACAGAGGTGTAACAGAGAGTAGGTCACACACTATAGCATGCAAAGTAGGATGAACCAGATGTGTAACAGACAGGAGGTCACACACTATAGCATATAAAGTAGGATGAGACAGATGTGTAACAGACAGGAAGTCACACACTATAGCATGTAAAGTAAGATCAGACATGTGTAACAGACAGTAGGTCACGAACTACAGCATGTAAAGTAGGATCAAACAGATGTGTAACAGACAGTAGGTCACGAACTACAGCATGTAAAGTAGGATCAGACAGATGCATAACAGACAGGATGATCACAAACCATAGCATGTAAAGTAGGATCAGACATATGTGTAACAGACAGTAGGTCACACCCTATAGCATGTAAAAGTAGGATCAAACAGATGTGTAACAGACAGTAGGTCACAAACTATAGCATGCAAAGTAGGATCAAACATATGTGTAACAGACAGAAGGTCACAAACTATACGATGTAAAGAAGGATCAACCACACGTTGAACAGACAGGAGGTCATACACTATAGCATGCAAAGTAGGATCAAACATATGTGAAATAGACAGGAGGTCACAAACTATAGCGATGTAAAGTAGGATCAACCACATGTGGAACAGACAGGAGGTCATACACTATAGCATATAAAGTAGGATCAAACATATGTGTAACAGACAGGAGGTCACACACTATAGCATGTAAAGTAGGATCAAACAGATGTGTAACAGACAGGAGATCACAAACTATAGCATGTAAAGTAGGATCAGACATATGTGTAACAGAGAGTAGGTCACGAACTATAGCATGTAAAGTAGGATCAGACAGATTTATAACAGACAGGAAGTCACACACTATAGCATGTAAAGTAGGATCAGACAGATGTGTAACAGACAGGATGATCACAAACCATAGCATGTAAAGTAGGATCAAACAGATGTGTAACAGACAGGAGGTCACACACTATAGCATGCAAAGTAGGATCAAACAGATGAGTAACAGACAGGAGGTCACACACTATAGCATATAAACAAGAATCAACCAAATGTGTAACAGACAGGAGATAACAAACTATAGCATGTAAAGTAGGATCAGACATATCTGTAACAGAGAGTAGGTCACGAACTACAGCATGTAAGGTAGGATCAGACAGATGTATAACAGACAGGAAGTCACACACTATAGCATGGAAAGTAGGATCAGACATATGTGTAACAGACAGTAGGTCACGAACTACAGCATGTAAAGTAGGATCAAACAGATGTATAACAGACAGGAGGTCACACACTATAGCATGTAAAGTAGGATCAGACATATGTGTAACAGACAGTAGGTAACGAACTACAGCATATAAAGTAGGATCAGACAGATGTGTAATAGACAGGAGGTCACAACTATAGCATGTAAAGTAGGATCAAACATATGTGTAATAGACAGGAGGTCGCACTCCATAGCATGCAAAGTAGGATCAAACATATGTGTCATAGACAGGAGGTCACAAACTATGGCATGCAAAGAAGGATCAAACATATGTGTAACAGACAGGAGGTCACACACTATAGCATGTAAAGTAGGATCAAACATATGTGTAACAGACAGAAGGTCGCACTCTATAGCATGTAAAGTAGGATCAAACAGATGTGTAACAGACAGGAGGTCGCACTTTATAGCATGCAAAGTAGGATCGAAACAGAGGTGTAACAGAGAGTAGGTCACACCTGCTATAGCATGCAAAGTAGGATGAACCAGATGTGTAACAGACAGGAGGTCACACACTATAGCATATAAAGTAGGATCAGACAGATGTGTAAACAGACAGGAAGTCACACACTATAGCATGTAAAGTAGGATCAGACATGTGTAACAGACAGTAGGTCACGAACAACAGTAGGATCAAACAGATGTGTAACAGACAGGAGGTCACGAACTACAGCATGTAAGGTAGGATCAGACAGATGGATAACAGACAGGGGAGGTCACTACACTATAGCATGTAAAGTAGGATCAGACATATGTGTAACAGACAGTAGGTCACGAACTACAGCATATAAAGTAGGATCAGACATATGTGTAATAGACAGGAGGTCACACACTATAGCATGCAAAGTAGGATCAAACATATGTGTAATAGACAGGGAGGTCACACTCCATAGCATGCAAAGTAGGATCAAACATATGTGTCATAGACAGGAGGTCACACACTATAGCATGCAAAGTAGGATCAAACATATGTGTAACAGACAGAAGGTCGCACTCTATAGCATGTAAAGTAGGATCAAACAGATGTGTAACAGACAGGAGGTCGCACTTTATAGCATGCAAAGTAGGATCAAACAGAGGTGTAACAGAGAGTAGGTCACACACTATAGCATGCAAAGTAGGATGAACCAGATGTGTAACAGACAGGAGGTCACACACTATAGCATATAAAGTAGGATGAGACAGATGTGTAACAGACAGGAAGTCACACACTATAGCATGTAAAGTAGGATCAGACATGTGTAACAGACAGTAGGTCACGAACTACAGCATGTAAAGTAGGATCAAACAGATGTGTAACAGACAGTAGGTCACGAACTACAGCATGTAAAGTAGGATCAGACAGATGCATAACAGACAGGATGATCACAAACCATAGCATGTAAAGTAGGATCAGACATATGTGTAACAGACAGTAGGTCACACCCTATAGCATGTAAAGTAGGATCAAACAGATGTGTAACAGACAGTAGGTCACAAACTATAGCATGCAAAGTAGGATCAAACATATGTGTAAAAGACAGAAGGTCACAAACTATACGATGTAAAGAAGGATCAACCACACGTTGAACAGACAGGAGGTCATACACTATAGCATGCAAAGTAGGATCAAACATATGTGAAATAGACAGGAGGTCACAAACTATAACGATGTAAAGAAGGATCAACCACACGTTGAACAGACAGGAGGTCATACACTATAGCATATAAAGTAGGATCAAACATATGTGTAACAGACAGGAGGTCACACACTATAGCATGTAAAGTAGGGTCAAACAGATGTGTAACAGACAGGAGATCACAAACTATAGCATGTAAAGTAGGATCAGACATATGTGTAACAGAGAGTAGGTCACTAACTATAGCATGTAAAGTAGGATCAGACAGATGCATAACAGACAGGAAGTCACACACTATAGCATGTAAAGTAGGATCAGACATATGTGTAACAGAGAGTAGGTCACTAACTATAGCATGTAAAGTAGGATCAGACAGATGTATAAC